TGACATGTTTGAAGAAACTTCACTATCCATAGCGCAAAACTTTGGATAAATGGAGAAGAAATTGGTGAGCGAACGAAGCTATCTTCCTATCCAACTCTTATCCTTATGCTATATCCCTATCCTAAATACTTGTTGCTTCTTCGTATCTACACCCTTCCAATCAGGCCGAAATTCAGCAAATGTTGGTCAGAGGAGAGGACTTATTACTGATTGATTTCAGTAACATGTAAAGAGAACATGACTCGGTCTATTCCTCGCTAATAATAGTTCACCGCAAATTTAGATGAATGCTTGTGACTTGCTAAGGTTTCTCCCTTCATTTAGATATCCGTTGCAAAAAAGTCAATCCTCAACCCGACCACCAAAATGTGGAAATCGGCAGGTTGGGTCATGGGCTTTGATAGCGGTGTTAACAACAGTTAAGAACATTAATAAGTACCATTCGAAATTTTCGGTCGACAAAACGGGTTGGTCGGCCAGAGAGAAGACGCTGTGCCAGTAAAGCTAACAAATAAAAGAGCTTGACTATTAACGTTGATAAGGCCGGAGCAAATGATATTTTTCTTTTCAAAAACGCTGGAGAGGAAGGGGCAATACTAATGAAGGAGAGTTCAGCAGAAACACAACCGATCGGTTTCACTTCGCCGTAAGGTATAAGCGAGTTTCACTGCGCTTTGTTAGACTGGTGTGAGAGGGTAGGAAATGAAGAAAGAAAAGTGAATGTGGTAGCCAGATTCTAAATTCTGCGTATAGAAACATAGTATCATGCCAGTGTCGATCAAGTGACAGTGCCGAAGTACTGCCATTACAGCACAGTAGAAATCACAGTTCGAAATAATAAATACTTCACTCCATATTACTCACTACCCTCCGCAGTGCTCACTTTCTCCATTGACCTACCCACAAAGTCACTGCTTTGTATATAAGAAGGATAACTTTTCCATATCACTATGTTTATCACAATCACAAAGCAACCCGGACGGACAGACCGACAAACCGACATACCGACATACCGACAAACAGACATACCGACAAACCGACAAACCAAGTTACTGTTTTATATATAAGAAGGATATACTATGACACGAAAATGAAGCTCTTAAGTGAAATCGTTCAGGAGACATGGAATTCATTGAATTTATGTCCCTTTTGTTGACCTTACAGGAGCGGTTGCCATAAAGCTCCTCTGGAAGGAAATGCTCTAGCAAGAAGAATATCCAAGTTGGGAAATCATTCAGCCGTAGCGGCAGCACAGTACTTTGAGAACAACATCGGCAATACATTGTGAGTTTATTAGCTCTACTGTGCCTTCCGTTCGACTTTACAGGATGCCTGGTAGGCCACGCTGTGGTCCCGTCTAAAACAACTGCATACCGCCAGTCTGGCAAAAAGCAAGGGGATTGCCACGTGTGAAGTGGATTGGCGACCGCTCTGGAATAGCCATCAGTCTTCACTTGACCGCTGTCACCTCCGTCATCCAAAACTTCACTCTTTAAAGGCACAGTTCTCGATAATTTTGGGTAATCCAGATTATGCGAAATACGGAGGATAAGGTGGAAAATAGTACGGTGCAGGCGAGAGTGTGCGCGAATCGGCGTTTTCAAATTGGTAGAAGGCTTCGAAAAAATCGTTAAAAAGGGGGCTGGACGAGAAGAAGACCAGAAAAATGAAGAAGAATGGGTGTTCGGCTCAGCTCAGGAAGGACGCGGTCGGGTCCACAAACTTAACAGCTAGGGCATAGTGGGAGCTCCGTTACCGATGGCCGAATGTTTCGCTCGTCGACCGGCCACGTCAGACTAGTTCGAGGCGGTACAGATAGCAATACTCGCTCTAGAACCCACACACAATCAGCTGATCGTCGAGTGATGAGGCAATTTTTTCTTCTATTCTTTTATTCCTTGCTATTCTTTTTGCTGCTGCAATCTTTATTTGATTTTCTACCCCAAAAGGCTCAAGAAAGAGGGCTATTTTGCTGTTACTTGTGTGTTTGCTAGCTTATGTTTATGAGTGAAGGGATTTTAAAGAACATGTTTTCTTACTGTGGTCAGCTCGCACCAGGACCCACACGTATGCAATGACACACAATGTATTCAAAAGTGGACCGTTCTTCTCATCTGAGGCGGAGTATGTGCGGAAGACAGAGGAAGTGCGAACAAAATGAAAGTGACTTGAGTAAAAGTACGCAGCCAAGTTGGACTCAGCAGGGAATATTCATGAATTTGGCTGGATTTGTGTAGATTTGTTTGAGTAAGAATCTGGGAATATATGTCGGGACTAGCAAAGGTTGAGATCACAATGATCCACGGTAGATTGGCAGGGAAGCCGAGTGCGTGGAGCTAGGATTAATAAGTTACAATCTGCTCAAAAACGATTTGAAGGACATAAAAGTGAACAGGAACTAGCATATGTAGAGAAGACATGGCAGGTAGGAGGTCCATGAAGAAAGCGGGGCTCAAATCCAAATTGCTTTGCTCTCTAAGGACAAAGAGCTTCATATGTGGAAGGATTCACGCTGTGGGATGCTGGCCAATACCTCATTTTATATGGACCTGTTGGATAGTAGACAGATTATTCACGGCTTCATTCTCATGTTCCGACTCCAAGGAAGTTGAGCAGATAAGGGTGCCAAGGATAAAGCAAGGATGAAGTTTTCGGGAGTTGATCAGTCTCGTCTGAAGGATGCACCCCGCATTAGATTTACGTACAGAATAGGAGGGGCGTATTGAATTCATATGAGGGCTATAGAATGACTTGCGGTGGTCAGCCAATGAACAAGTCAGTACTTTTATCCTCCCAGACGAATCCGATACCAAACAACCGACTCCAAAGGAATGAAGACTTCGTTATCCAAGCGCATATCGATCTGGGATTTGAACTCGTGACCATGCGTATGTGAAGTGCTGCGCCACTT